TTCTCGATCGTTCTAATTCGTTTTGGACTGCTTCGTTATTTAGCACGGCTAACATTTATGCATGCGGAAGTTTTCTTGTGGCCTACAGCCTACTTCCTTTGAGCGAGAAAGTTGACCTGTACGACAAGAGAGGCTGCTGATGGATGTCATGGACTCGTGGCCGAAGTTGGGATTAGGGCTAATTACTAATTAATTGGACAATTAAGGCATGTGTTTTTTATATTTAAGCAGTGATTGCTAATACCATGGGCGGATAATGAGGAAATAGATCTTCTTCGGATTTCTTCCATCAAATCTATCAAATCACTTAATTCGAGTTCTTGAAATTGGATTCAACGGCTAAAACTATTATAACTTTTAAAAGGATTCTCTGTTTATAGTCATTGAATCAACAGATAACCACAATAATTAGGATTTAGATCCTCTCCGGATCCCCTCACTAGGGATCCCGGAAATCAATGCATAGTAACCATTAATCAAATATCATATTGCCATAATTGAATGCTTTTTATATTTTTAAAAATAAAGCAACCTCATTTTACGTAAAAAATATAAAATAAAAAAATTATGATTGCAAGATCTTTGATGAACTGTTACTATGCATTGATCCCTGAAATTCTCAATGAGGGAACCGAAGAGGATCTAAATCCCAATAATTAGTACCTTATCAGTACATAGCAAATAGTTAAAACAAACAAAAGACTAATTATACGTGTACTTGTCGAAAGAATGATGTTATTCATATATTTATTTTTACTTTTACACATTATTCGTAATTTTCAATCGTTGAATTAAATGAATTAAAAGATCCAAAAAATACAAATAAAAAAGATGTATGTGAGAGTGTGTAAACAACACCACACTTATCGCAAATGTTTTGGGATGCCTTTGTATTTAGTCTCACTTAAACCGTCCCGTTCATTTTAGGATGAGAGTTGTCATTTTCAGACAATCAATCAAATGTCTTCCCGATTAAACAACACTACTTAAATCATCCATGTGTTGGAGCTAGAGACTTTGGTGCGACGTTGCATTTTCCGCTCTCGTGCTTATCTCATTTTTCACGTAGTGATATAATCACATATAAACATACAATCAAGTTACGCTTACAAGTTTTTCTCCCTGTAGTACTAGTATTAGGGTTAGCGTTAGGGTTTAGTAGTGCAGAGGGGACTGTAGGTAGTCACCGTCGAGAAGTCGTCAAAAGCACCGACTGGGAAAATGGGGCTGAAACCTAACAAAACCACACTATATACGAGATTGACAGCGACAGAGAGAGGTGAGGAGAGTCAGGAGACGGTGTCGCAGAAGAGCCCCTGCAGTTTTGACGCAGACAGACAATGACTTCCTCTCTTTATAGCTTGGCTTAGCCAGCTGCTGGAGCCGCTTTCGTGCTAGCTTAGTTTCTGTATGAGCACCCGTAAGCCAGTACGGCAGAGATGAAGCTAAGACTGAAAGCTGGGGGTGAGTTGAGTGATATGGAAGTACATCCCTTGAGGGTAGACTAGACCCTTGCCACTAGAAACTACGCTTTAGTGCCGAGAGACAAGGTACACACGATATTCAAGGAGCGACCGAGCAGATGAGAAAACAGAGAAAGAGCATCAATATATCCATTGCTACTATGCTAAAAATTTATTCAAAAAGTGAGAATTAATCATGAGATTCATTTTACATCGACTTTATCGATTTAAATTATTTATTTTATAAGTTTCGATTCATAAATTATTCTTATAAAATTTAATTTAATTTGAAATTATTTGCTTATTTAATTATTATGATAATATTTTAATGTTTTTCTTAGAACAACGTGCTCTTCAATTTCTTTAAACTTGTTTAGATTCTTTAAATATTTTCGATTTAGCTAATATTTTGCAAGAATTATCTAAGATATACAACTTAAAAAATAGACGGATTGGATCATTAAATTTGATTTAATGTAGGCCCCACAACTAATCCTTATTTTTATAAAGAGTGTTATCTCTGCATCCATTTTTTACTTTTCACACTATATAATATTATATAATTATATATATAGTTTGTTGAAGTGGGTAATCGTTTGTCCTGGCAAACGGATCATTTTTGTTGTGTTTGTATCGTTTTTGTATCATAATTATTATTTTGACGAGTTGTATCGTGTTAAATCCGTCATCTTAACGGATTATTAACGGGTAATTTGATAAAGGTTCGTGCAAAAAATTATTAAACCTAATACTCCTACCTTAATTTACACGTTACATGATGATAGATATAAAACGAGAAGCATATATTCGACTAAAACACGAGAAAATTTTGCAATGAGTCGTCTTAATGAGCATTCATTATAGAATTTTTTGGTGAATTTTGAGTTAAATTATTTTAGCCGTTGTATTTAAATTTGGGCCATTATATATATTTTTTACCGTTAGATTTTATTATATTTGATCTCAGTCGTTAGATTTAATGTATTTTAAAATTACATTTAAAAAAAAATTTGAATCTGAACTAGTGGATCAATCAACGGTCCAAAAAGCCCAATAGGTCCCATCCTGTCGGGCCCTCAAAAACTCAACCCGAGTGGGGCAAGTTGAGCACGTGATTGGGTTGGGTTTGGAGGGGGTGAGAGGAGTGAATAAGTGGGGAAATTTGGCAAATAGCCAAGAGTTTAGTGTGGTCTAAGGAACCTCAACTAAATAAACGCTGATCTCATCTAATTGAAAAAGAACCCTCTATGTTTATATGCATGAACTGCAAAAAGAGAGATCATGTACGAGTACGATGTATGATGGTTCAAGTTGTAAGTCGTGAGTCAAAAAACCGTGGCACCGGAGACTAGTGAGAGAGACAGGATGCGCACACGAGACCCGAGGAGAGGATGGAGGAAGAAGAAGGGCAGGCAGAACCAATTATTGCATCCCACGCTGCCCGACACCCATCATATTGTTGGTCCTCTTCTTCCTCCTATTTTATTCTCTCCCCTATTCGACGGTTAATTAACGCCGGACTACATGTTCCTTTCCCTCTTTTTCTACTTATGACCTATTTAAATTATCCAAACTACACCAATCCATGGCCTCAACCCTCAAATCCATTTCCTTTAGTTACCACTTAATTAGTTTTGTGTACAGAGAAATGATAAGAGATTCTTTCAAATCCCTTTTTATTTTATTTATAACCTCATGTTTTAAAAACAATTTTTATTTCATTATTATAAAATTATGCTAATAATATTAGGTGACAAAAAATGCATAAAAGAGTCTTACTTTAAAAAAAATTTCTTAGCATTTTTCTTGTATATAAAACAACACAGCCTTTTAATTGAACGGCCCGTATTGAAACAACATTAATGTAGCTACATTGATTTGAATGTTTTACCACAATTTATATTGGTTTAAATACGAATAATGTTTGGCAACTCAAGGTGAGTAGTAATTATTACCCAAATTTTTTCTTGTCAGACTCGAATTTTTTGTTTATAATCGGAACCGTTTAAATGATAAAATCTTTGCAAAAAATGAATTAAAAATAAGGTCTGTAGGTCAATCAAACTGTAGCAAGCAGATGGACAGTTTGTAATACTTTTACTATCTTTGTCCATCTGTTCCAATACAGTTTGATGACTAAATAAGCTTAGTTATAATTGATTTTTTTCCCGCATATATGACCTTTATAAAGCGCTTTATAATGTAAAAGTTCTTAATTATAAACACAAAATTCTATAAATTGAAAACAAAACTTTTTTGCATAAGAGCGTCTACTCATGTTTTGAGTAGTCAAATATTATTTTTAAATTAATTTAAACATTAAGCCAATTTTAGCACGCCTTGAGAATCTTATTTGTATTTATATTTCTTCAATTTGGAATCTGTTTATAATATGATTTATTATTTTAGTTTACAATACGAAAACTTAGCTTTATGTTTATAATCACGAATTGATTATTTACTCGATTCAAGTTTTAATTTAAGGAAATGCTAAAGGAATTCATTTTTATTAGTAATACGTCAATTAATTTATAAATTTAGTCTACTTATCACTACTCTAATTTAAATATAAAATTATGGATTATGAAGGGTAATGTTAATCTAATAAAAAAAAGAAAATTATTATTAGCACTCCAAAAATCTCATTCTATACTCCAAACTTTCTATATTAGAAAAGAAAAACACATTTGTGAGGGATGTAGAACGAGATTTTTGAAGTACTAATAACACTTTCCTTAAAAAATAGTACCATACAAGTTAATATATAGTTACAGGTTGAAGAAAACAAAGGAATACTGAAAGTTCTTGAGTTTTTGTTTTAAATTTTTGATTAAGAAAGTTTGAACCTAAAAAACAATCATTGCAATTCGCTTCTTGCACAACTCCTCATGTTTTAAACTGCAAACAGAGTGAATAGAAGATGAAAAAAATTTCTAAAACTTTTTTTATCGTTTCAAGGAATGACGTCCCCAACGGAGAATCTCAATGAGATATAGATGGGAGATATTGCCAAACTTTTAAAAATATGTGTTGTGATCGGGGAAGAACTCGGTTCGATTCATTTCCGACTGAACTAAGTTGGTGACATGAAACAAGGTTGAGCGGAGACGCCAACCCTACCTGATACGCCAGCTTCCCTCCCAAGACACACCACCGAAAATATTATCACCGCCCCATCAGTATCACCAGCACCATCCTCAATCCCATCACACCTGACCACGTCACTACCCCCTACAACTGCAATAAATATTATCTCCATAGTAAAATTGGCTATCAAGCCAAAAAGCTCTTTAACTTTGTTATGTTTGGAAATTGATTTTTCGTATGCAGTTTTATTGTTGTTTTTTATAAAGAGTTTGATCGGATTTGTGATGTTGGTTACAAATGAGCAATTTTTTTGAAATAGGACACGAAAAATAAACTGCACAGTAAAGTTAAATCCACTTAAATTACTAAATAAAATTAATTAGGAGCTGGTAGTTCAGCCCACGTGTCACTCGCGCCACCTTCCTCACTCTCGATAAAACCCTCTCACTTCTTCGAAGACTTTCTCCCCACTCTCTTAGCCTTGCTCAAATAATATCCATTGCCTTATTCCAAAAAGACAACACTGACGATGCCGTTTGACTCCGCCGACGCGCAAATGCGACCGTCGACGACGATGAGAGTCCAGCACAGTCTGGGTCACCCGCCGCCGCAGCAGACAGAGCCACTTCACTGCCCCCGTTGCGATTCCGACAACACCAAGTTCTGCTACTACAACAATTACAACCTCGCCCAGCCACGCCACTTCTGCAAGTCCTGCCGCCGCTACTGGACCCACGGTGGCACCCTCCGAAATGTCCCCGTCGGCGGGGGCTCCCGCAAGAACACCAAGCGTTCTCGCCCGTCCTGCTCTTCCTCCTCGGGCTCGCCCTCCTCGTCTTCACTGACACAGGAGGTCAGCTCCGTCGCGCCCACAAAAGCCATTTCCGTGCCGGTGGAACCGAAGCCAGAGACGGCGTTGGATCACGAAAAACTGATGGACTTGAACGAGAGCGCTGTCGGGAACGGCGGCTTCACTTCTCTGTTGAGTGCTCAGGGCCCACCTGCACCTGGGTTCTTGGCGCTTGGCGGGTTTGGGTATGGATTCGGGTACGGGTTGGGACTCGGGCAAGGGTTAGACGAAGTTGGTACTTTTGGCTACGGCGGCGGCAGAGGCGTGCTCGCTTTTCCCGAGGAAGGTGACTTTGCAAATATTAACCACAACAACAATGGAGCCGTTTCTGGGGGTTCTGTCGGGTGCAACACGTGGCAGATTATGACTGGTGGTGATGGAAGGATTGCTGAGGACAACGGGGATTGCTTTACCTGGCCGGAGCTTGAGATTTCCAAGTAACAAAATTACTATTTTAACCCACATCCCGGAAGAAAAAGAAAAAGGATTAAATTTCCTTTACTTTTTTATCTTTTCTGGGTTTTTGGTTAGACTTTCTGATCATCTCGATTTGTTTTCCGGGTCGGATTCTATGGTGGGTTTGTAGTACAGATATATCGCTATAGGTTACAAAAGTTTGTTGCTTTCGGTGGCTCTATGTTTTCTGGTTTAGGGTTTAGTTTTTCTTGGGTCTGTAAATGTTCCGTCTTTGGACAGAAACACTGCAAAAAAAAGGACAAAGACGACTGCTTTTTCGGTAAAACTGCATTTACTTTCCATGCAATTTCATCTTCTTGGTTAATTTGAGATTTCCAGCTGACTAGCAATATGTTTCAATACTCGCTCGCTGGTCGTTGATCGCTGTGTTGTTGATATATGATCGATATTTTGGTTATGTTTCTCACGTTTTCGTTTGTGAGATCATTTTTTTTTTTCTTGGATCCTAAATCTGTCTGCAAAACTGTAAATGGGGCATGATGAATAATCGAGTCCCACATTGTCAACTTTGTTGGAAGGAAATTAATCATAGTTTAATATTAATTAAAGGAAACCAAGAAACCAGACATGAACTGACAATTTAGTAGACGGTAAGAAATGGACAACTACAAGTTAAATTAATGGGGTTGATCAGAAGAGAATTCAGACAATCAACCCACCTCAGTGTAGTTTAAGGTTTTTTACTTCAAAGATTTATCTGTACTGTTCAACTTTGGAATTAAATAGCGAGAATAAGTTTGTAATGATGCTGGAAATGTGAGAATTTTGAGCAACATTGCCCCACCTACCAGGGACCACTTTGAATCAAATCCACGAGATAGGGTTTGAACCTACAACCAATAATTAGTTAACAGCTAATCGCTTTAGAAGAACAACAAGAGATTAGATCTCTTGAGAGTGCCATATCCATTTTCAACCTATGACCAATATGAGCTTGAAGTTTTCAAAAACTTGTTTGGGCTTCATTTGAAATTAGAATCCGGGCAGTTTTTGGGGTTAAAGTTATTTAATTGCATGCATGAAAATGAAAGAAATGTTGTTTCCCCTTGAAATTTACTTGATTTGTGCTTTTTGGTTGAACTGAAGGTGAATCCAATGCATCCCGTTTTTCTAGGGCTGAAATACTTTAGTGTTACTAATTCACATATTTTGAAAACTGGCAGTTGAAGGTATGTACTCTAGGGCATAAGTATAAATATGTAAAATATTCCACTAATATTATAGTTTAGAAGTATTTATTTCTACTTGTATGTGTGAGAATAAGCTCAATTTAATACCAAATTGTTTTTGACGGGAGGTTTAACTCGAAATCAAATCAAATCAAATCCAACTCGTAGGCTTTTTGAATCTTAGAAAGTGTTATATTTGTCCGATATGTATATTCAAATTCCAATCCCGCTTGCAGGTTTATGTTGTTGGCAATGCATACATGATGATTATACAAATATCATTAATTTTTGTTTGTGCTGAAGTATGAGGTATCCCACATTTCGAAAAGGAGAACTAATTATTTGTTGAGTTTGAAAAGGCTAAAGGCATTTCAGCAATTTCTGACGACGGTCAAATGACACAAATTTTTTCAAAACTTTCAACTAGAGAACCATTTGTGGTTTTGTCAACTTCGTGCTTTGAATCCAAGACTAGAAAACATATCTAACTTGAAATTCTACCGCAATTCTACTGGACTGGAATAATCATGTTTTGCATCACCCTCACGCTAGGGTTGAGCAAAAATGTCTAATTCATCGCATTAATCACGGAGAGTGCCAGCTTGCCTTGTATGATGCACTAAACCACAATCCATGCATGCATGCCGACACCAGATAGTTTAATTAATTAATTAAATTTAAGGTTACTCTATAATTGGTCTCTGCTAGTTGAAATCCGAATTAAACATATGATTATTATCATATAAATACATATATAGGTCTGTGATCAGGTGGAGTCATCATTCTAGTTGGGATATTTGTCATCCCCATCCCCCACCACACCCGCATTTCCTCTCTTTTATTAAGAACTGCAATCGACTAAATTATTAACTCGATTCAATGTATTAAGCAACACCCTCAGGCCTCGTTTGGCAGCTCGGACTGTACTGACTATTTCTGTCGGATAGGATAAATAGCCACCGGATAGTACTGACTAAATTAGTCGGGTGTTTGGTGCAGTATCGGACTAGTGATCGTATTATTTATACTGTGTTTGATATTATACTAGATAGGAGACATCAAACTTTAAAAAAAAAAAAATTTAAAAAATGAAATCATTTTTTTGTTCCCAGGTCTCTCGGCACCCCCCAAACACCCTCCCTCTCTCTCCCTTCTTCTTCCCCGACGATAGAAGAATCTCAAATAATTGTTCCCCAGCTCTCTCCGCCACACCCCCCAAACTCCCTCCCTTTCTCTCCCATATTCTTCTTCCCCGACTAAATAATCCGGACGTTTTGGTTGGTTTTATTAAGCGGGTGTATACCGTATTATCCTATCCGACCGGTTAAATTAATCCGGTGCTTATTTAGTACGAGTGAACGCCAAACACCCGGGTTCGTATAACTAATCCTATCCGATCCTTTATCCGATCTGCCAAACAGGGCCTCATTTTCCTCCCACTATCCATTATCATTGCATATCCCATTCCACATTACCAACCTAAACTGCATAATTAATTAAATCCCTACGGGGTGCCCTAGTGGCTGGGACGAATTTCAGGCTCGTATTTCACAAGACATGTCATGTGTTTGATTCATGACGATAGTGAATCATACGATGGTGGCTAGGAGGAAGTTGAAATACCTCTTGTGAATCTTCCCAACCTTCGAAAGGGTGGATTGCAGTGGTGAAGTCACTAGCTGATCTCCTTTAACAATAAAAAAAACTATGTAATATGAAAACTCAAACTATAGAAAAAATGGGTTGATTACACATACACCCCTGAAGTTTTTTGTGTTTTCACAAAACCCGCTCAGGTTTTTAACATATCACAAACACCCCCTGATTTTAAAATCATTGCAAACACCCCAATTAACAAGTTTTTCCACCGGGTATTTTTCTCCCCAAGGAAGTTTTTGGAGATGTTGAAACTGAGTGCCGATTGGGATCTTGCGAACCAAGTGATTGCTTGAGAGGTTCGAGAATGCAAGGAAATGGAGTTCTGAAATTTCAGGTGGAACCTCTCATGTTGTTCAGTGAGAGATCGAAATTCGAAAGACTCGAGATTTCGAAATTTACTCGATGATGATGGGGTTTCACCTATGAAATCATTTGTTGGAGAAGTTGAGGATATATAATGATCTGAATTCTCCGATATCGACATGTATTTGTCCGTAAAAAATTGTTGCCTGAGAAGTCAATCGCGGTGAAGATAGTTACAATCTTTTCCTGGTCCATTGGCAAATCTTTGCTCACAGTTGTTACTGAGCTTTGGTATAAATATTTTCATCGTTTCTGTTCGCAGGCAGAAGGTGATTTGCATCATCTTGGTTAGCCACCATAGCCTTCCATATTGCCAAAGATCCTACTGGTATTTTACTATTGTCAAATATCATTAGGTTTTTCAAAAGATAGGTCTAATCAAAGTTTGTAGACAAACACTATTTTAACTCCGTAAGAGTTTCTTTGTATTTTCACAACTTTCTTCATAGAAGGGGATTTGTGAAATGATTTTAAACCGTAAGGGGTGTTTGTGATTTGCTGAAAATTTAAGGGGATTTTCTGAAAACACAAAAAACCTCAAAAGGTGTATGCGTAACTAACCCAAAAAAGAATTCCTCATCTGTTAACTATTAATGTCGGGTGCAACCATGCAAATACAGTAGGTTACAATAACAATTGGGTTCAGTTATTTTTATTTTTGTTATTTGAAGTGGTTTTTGCTAAAATTCATGGAATTTTAAGGAGCTTATAACTTTATAAGTGAAGGGAATTAGAAGAAAGCTCCTTGCTCCTTTTTATTAGGTAGGAGGGAAACCCCTTTTTCGAACTTTGTATATAACATCGTAGGGGTTTGGGTGGAGTGACCCAATACAGAGGGACCTTGTGCGTGTGAGTTTGGCCACATGACCACAGAGAGTAACTTATATAGTAAATGTATATCAATATGGCAACGTTCTATTTTAATAAAATAAAGTTATGTGTAATTTTTGGTCTAAATGATTAGTTTTCAGGAGTACTGAATATCACATGATGATGTACTTACGTCATGTAACTTATTCTCATGACCATGTAGTTCTCACGGCAGACGGTAGGGTAAGTATTATCATGTTAAAGAATATTAGTGATAGGTAGGGTTTTTTTTTTTTTTTTTTTTGGTTTTTTTGGTATCATAAATAGTCCTTTATGTTTAGCAATTAATCAATTCAGTCCTTCATTTATTCCTTTGGTTATCAAAATTGGCCTTGCCTTCCACACAAATGCCACATATGTACATTAATAGATTTTTTTAACGGAACTAAACGACAAGTGCAATTTTGTTTACCAAATTTATGAGTTTGAAACTAAAGAATCAAATTTATAAGTCTCTAAAACATAAATGATTATTTGTGATAAAAACTCGTGATAAGCATATTAGACTGGGTCAGACCCAAAAACATGCAATGAGACTGGGTCCAATGCACAACTTATACTGCCCTCGAAGCATGCAATGAAAATGGGGCCAACTTATAAAGATCCAAAAGCATTAAGAATGGGTCCATCCAAATTATAGTGATGGGAAGTCAGAAATGATTTCTGTACTTACGTTCCTTCTTGCGATTCTCTCTTTATTTATAGCCGTTAAATTGAACAAATGCAGGAATGTAGAAGTAGAAAACAAGAGTCAAAATAATAATAATAAGCTAGCATTTCCAATTTCAATACTAAAAAGCCAGGCACAAAGTATAAAGTTTCTATTAGAGAACCTGAAGAAACTCACCGTTGCAACATACTATGTGATATCAAGAAGGATCATATGTACGTACGAGACATACGGAATTTGCAACAAAGAAGCATGTTTATAAGTTTTGTTTAACAAATTTTGCATAATTCTGAAGCAAGTCAATGAACAATCAATTCGGCGGCTTGAAGAACTTCAATTTAAGTCCGCTGTTCACCATGCTCCATACCCCTCCGATCGAAAATGCCAAGCTAAAGGCGATCCCCAACCAGCCCAAGATCCAATGGAAATACCAGTTGAAGCTGTACTTTGTGGGTTTTTTTATAAGAACCCACATGAAGCAAGGATAGGCGAATGTGACGGGAAGCGTGAGCCCTCCTAGTAGACCGGCAAGACTGGAGAGGAAGGGGAGCGCTACGCCTATGAAGAAGTTGATGAATCC